CCCCCTCTCACCTCTGCCCTTTCCCCTCCCACTGGCCAGAGCCGACTGCCTTCCAAGCTGGGGACCCCATCTCCAGACCAGGGTCCAGGTTGCCAGGCGAGGTCACACCTGATCTCTGCAACAGCAAATCCTTTCCCACCCCTCATTACACACAGGCACTGAGACCACCGCACTCACGCAGGACACTAAGAACCCCCCCTCCCCCTCTCACCTCTGCCCTTTCCCCTCCCACTGGCCAGAGCCGACTGCCTTCCAAGCTGGGGACCCCATCTCCAGACCAGGGTCCAGGTTGCCAGGCGAGGTCACACCTGATCTCTGCAACAGCAAATCCTTTCCCACCCCTCATTACACACAGGCACTGAGACCACCGCACTCACGCAGGACACTAAGAACCCCCCCTTCGTCCTGGGCCCCCTGCCGTCTGTGTGAGCCCTGCTCAGCGCTCCCCCCACCAGCTCTTGTGCCAGGGAGCTTCCTGTACCATCCCACTCCTGCCTTCCCTAGTCTGAAAGGCTCCCCTGTGCAGTGTATTCCCTGTCCGCCCTGCCACAGCACTGGCCAGCCTGGAGCCCACACGCTGGGCCTCCCCGGCCAGCTCTGCCTGCCGCTCAAGGAGGGGTAAATTGGTGGGGACCCGAGAAGGACTCAGGGATTAGAAACTAGGCTGAGTGGGACTAGTCTGGGCCACTCAGTTAGCTGGCCGTAGGCTGTGCAGCCTGGGTCTGTAGCTTAACAGACTCACCTGTCCACCAGCATCTGTATGGGCTTCTGGGTGCTGACGCCGCACATGGGTGGGACGGGGGGCTACAGCAGGGCAGCCCGGGAAGGAGATGAGGGTAAAGTAACCCAGGAACCCCATCGCCCCCAGCTCTTAGATTGGGGGGGGGGTGCTCTGGCTGAACACGGGAACAGTCCCTGCGAAGCGCCGCGCCTGCTCGGCTGGTGCCTGGGTGGGCCTCAGGCCAGTGCAGAGAGCTCAGAGTTGAAACACAGGCGCGTCTTCCCCAAGCCCAGCCACGCTAGAGTGAGCCCGCCCCCTTGGCCAGGTCCCTCCGGCAGCCCCCACCTCGCACCCCCCCCTCCCAGGGCCAGGTCTCTGCTCTGCTCTGCTCCCCGTGGAGAGGCGGGGCTGGCTTTCTTTGGGCTGCAGACTCCTGCTTAGCCGTGTCTCTGGGATTTTCCATGGATGCAGAGCTGCCTCTGGCAGTTGGAGTAGCCCGGGCACCCTTTGTCTCCTCGCCCAGCCCACCCTGAGAGCAAATGTGCCCAGAGTTCGTCTTGCTGCTCTGAAGAAGGCTCAGCCCAGTCTGGTGCAGTGTCTCCTCTGGCTGGTGCTTCCTAGGGCCGACCTTGGCGTACTCAGCCCTGGTCTGCTCGCACCTCTAGGCTCTGCACCCCCACGGGTTAGTCGTGGAGAACACACGGAGAGCAGAGCTTGTTAGCACAGAACTCGAGTACCTGCCAGAGCTCTGGGCTCCACCCCCCCAGCTGGGAGACTGACCCTTCTCTCTCCTGCTCTGGCACTCCAAGCCATCAGTTCCCAGAATACAGCATGGGCCCTTCTCTTCAGCCTGCCAGGTCTCTGTGAGGATCACAACCCCTTCCCACCCCCCTGCCCTGACACACTTAAGTGACACCTGGGGCAGGCTGAGACACACCCAGTATTCAGAGGAAACATGGGCCCACTTCCACACATCTCTCCCTCAGCCAAGAAGCCATGCTATATACAGGGGAAACTGAGGCACGCATCGGCATGAAAACATGACAGTTTCCCCCGTCCCACGCAGCTCAAGGGGTTCTTCAGGGCAGTTCTCAGGTCAGGTTATGTTGGGCCAGATGGGGGCTACGTCTGCGCTTCAGGTTTCTTGAACAAGAACTTTTTGTGGAAGAGATCTTCCGCAAAATGTTCTCACATGAGCGCATCCACGCTGCCATGTGCTTTTGTGCAAGAGCGCATCCACGCTGCCATGTGCTTTTGTGCAAGAACGCATCCACACTGCCATGGTTGCTCTTGCACAAGGAAGCTGTAATGGCCATTCACAGAATGGCCATCAGAGCACCTGTGCCTTTTCCAATAGAGGTTTCTTGCACAAGAAACCCCTGTTTTCCATCCACACATCCCTTTTTGCACAAGAGCTCTTGCGCAAAAAGGCTTATTCCTCATAGAAAGAAGAATAACTCTTGTGCAAAAAGCCCTGTCTTCTGATGCTCGGCTGTACTTTTTCTTGCTTGTAGTGTGGATGCTCTGCGAGTTTTTGCTCAAAAACTCTGCAGTGTAGACATAGCCTAGGTGATTCCTTGTCCAGCATGCACCCCTAGGCTGGGCTTCCCACTCCAGGGGAGCAGCCGACAGCGGGTTTCTCCTTGAGTGGCTCCAGAGGGTGCTTCCTAACGGTCCCCGAGACCCTGGTGAGCTGGGGCTGGCCGGCCCATTGGCTCAGAGTGCCTCAAGCATGGAGCATTTCCCAGGCTTCCCGTCAGGGCGTCTCCCAGCGAAGTCACGGATGATCCCGTGATGATGCACAAACATTTGTGTTTTTAATGGCAGGAGCTGTGGAAACGCTTACGTTATTCCAGGCAATACCCCTTCCTCAGCCCCCCTCTCCACTTACTCCTGCAGAGCGAGAGGGCGTGCACAGGACGTCCTGGCCCGGGGCTGCTGCCAGATGGGATGGCATGGCGGAGTGGCGATGGCACCACATTCCCAGCACCTGCTGCCCAGCCAGAAGTGAGATCTGGCCCAGAGTGGGCACCAGGACCCACCACACTTCTCCACGGGGTGGGGCACTCCCTGGAGGTGCCTTTCCTGAGTATGGAGCCAGTTGTGGGGCAGAGCCCCATGCCAGTCTCCCTCCTGGGGCAGCTGGCACCTGCTGCCACCCCCTCCAGCACACCACAGCCTGAGGGAGATGGAGGAGGAGCTGCAGAGAGGTGGAGCGCCTGGGATGCTCAGCGAGGAACGGGACCGGTGGAGGGGCCCGGCTCCCAGGATGCTCGGCGAGGAACGGGGCCAGCGGAGGGGCCTGGCTCCCAGAATGCTCGGCGAGGAACGGGGCCGGGCGCGGGGCGAGGAAGGGGAGCTGGGGAGGGGCCCGGCTCCCAGGATGCTCGGCGAGGAACGGGACCGGTGGAGGGGCCCGGCTCCCAGGATGCTCGGCGAGGAACGGGGCCGGCGGAGGGGCCCGGCTCCCAGGATGCTCGGCGAGGAACGGGGCCGGCGGAGGGGCCCGGCTCCCAGGATGCTCGGCGAGGAACGGGGCCGGCGGAGGGGCCCGGCTCCCAGGATGCTCGGCGAGGAACGGGGCCGGCGGAGGGGCCCGGCTCCCAGGATGCTCGGCGAGGAACGGGGCCGGCGGAGGGGCCCGGCTCCCAGGATGCTCGGCGAGGAACGGGGCCGGCGGAGGGGCCCGGCTCCCAGGATGCTCGGCGAGGAACGGGGCCGGCGGAGGGGCCCCACAAGGCAGAGTTGTCCTGAAGCCAGAGGCTGCCTCCAGCCAGAAGAGGAGGGCTAGGAAGGCAGAATCACCTCTCCACAGTGCCCTGGGACAGGTGTGGTGCCCAGGGAGAGCTGGCTGTGAGAGGGATGGGGAGGGGAGGGCCTTTCCTAGCAGA